TACGTCCTACGTGCAAGCCATATAAACATCACGTCACCGCGTTAACCTGAGCGCGGTGTCCACGGCCAGGTCGTCACACCCACTTCTTAGTTAAAAAAGGTGAAGCTTGTTGGAAATCAGGATGCCTAAGGCACCTTCGTATATCCTAGTCCCGCAGCGATGTGATATATCATATTCAGGGGCTAAGGGACACGTAGACATAAGGAAGCGTTTGTCTACGCTCTCTCTCCTAGATAGATGAACATACTCACCATGCGATACTAGATCGCACCGATAGTTTCAATATACTATCCAGTCACCGCTATCCTAGCACCTCACGACATAGCTTCTTCCCCGAGATTCTCAACAAAGCTTATTTTATGGCGCCAGGATTGTACCAATTGCATATAAATCACCAGGGATTCATTAGTCATGCTATAATACTCTGATGGCTTTAACTTTGCTTGCTTTAGGGCAGACAGCATTAATGCTTTCCAGCTAAATTTGCAAGCTGTGTCATTGACTTCTCGAGTGTAAAGGGGCGAAACGCCTTGCTATCTAATAACTAGATATACACAAAGAGGAATCGCTGAAAGGAAGAAAAGGGGAAGAAGCGTGCGTTCTCATACTACAAGGGGTCATGTGACTGTGGTAAGCGGACCAATCATATGTGTCAATCGCAGCGAAGGTGAAGCCGAGCAACATACAGGGGTAGCCCGTGACATCGAGATAACTAAACAGCTTATATAAATACCGAACACAGTATGGACAGTAATATCCTTGCCTTTTAAAGTATAGTTGTAAAGGTAAAAAAAGGCTGAGCAATTACAAGAAGATAGTCAATCTGGCGCAATTCCTCCTGATTTGACTGTAGGTCATGGCGATCGCCGATTATACTGTAAGCAAAACTCATCAAGGATAGACTGTAATCACTTGGCACGCCGAAGCATTAAATATGTTAAATTCCAGCGAGTCCGGACATCTTGCATTGGTACAGTTACAAGCTTTGGTTTTTTTGTCTGAAGATTCAGGAAATTCCCTTGGCGTTGAGGGCTTCTATTAATAACGATTGCTAGTCGTCGAACCTAGTATCAAGTAGGATAATAGGGACAACGGGAACAACGGGGGCAATACGGTGAACGCGGTCAACGGGATGAACAGCGACAACGGGAGCAACGGGAATAATAGGGTCAACAGGGTCAACGGGGTAAACAAAGTTAAATTGCCCTAAGATATTAAACATGCTCCAGCCCTTCACATATCTTACCTTGTTAAGGGCATACACAATTTCTCGCTGATCCCAATTCTCCTCCTCTGTCTATTCTGTTTCTTCTATCTTATTCTTTGGGTTTGCTTCCATCTTACCAAGAAGCTCTTTTAAACTAAGTTGAATCACATGTGCCATACATGGCATACGGATAGCTTATTATTGTACCCTCACAGGAGCATATTGCCTGGATGCACGTCTATAAAACGTTAGAGGTGCAAAGGGCTGGAGCCCATTTGACCTCTCGGGCCAATGCCCCTATTATCCCTGTTGTCCCTACTGTCCCTACTGTCCCTACTGTCCCTACTGTCCCTACTATCCTTTATGGCCTCGATCCATGTCACGTGACTTTCCACCTTCTTTGATTACCGCTCATTTTCCTCTTCCTTTCTTCCCTTCTTCAACGATTCCTTTTTGTACATAAACTATCTCATAGGTTCTACGGTTTCAGCCCCTGACAAGAGGAGCTACACCCAATAGGGACAGTAGGAACAATAAGGACAATTAGACTGAGAGGTTAAAAGGGCTCAGTGTCACGGGCTAGTAGCCGATTCAACCTATATAATAGATTTGGACTAAAAGAACTCGCTGAGGAGCTTCTATCCGCGGCCGCGACGGCCGAACAGGTAAATGCGCGAGAGGCAAACGAGATCACGCGATCGGGAGAGTTCTACACGAACCCCCGCGGAGCACACAAAATAATCATCAATGTTGAAAACCAGGATGCCTAAGGCACCTTCGGGTATCCTAGTCCTGAAGCCATCTGACATATCACACGCAAGGGGCTAAGGGGCTAAAGGACACGTAGACATAAGGAAGCGTTTATCTACGCTCTCTCTCCTACAGTGGGATGCAAAAAGTTTGAACCCCCCCCAGCTGACCGCCCACACCATCCTCCTACCGCCTACCTGATCTACCACTCCAAAAACATGCGGACGCGTGTATAATAATAAAGCTATACAAAAATGCCTCCACGCAGACGTACTTCACGAAGGGAGCTTGATCCGCAGATGCGCTCCCGTATCTGTGAGCTTCATTCAATTGGATGGGGTGCTAAAAAAATTCATACAAAACATCCAGAGATACCTTTAAATACAATAAAAACTACTCTCCGACGCGAAAGTATACGGAAAAATAATGTCTCTTGCCCACGATCAGGTGCACCACGCAAGCTTACAGAGGTTCATAGAGATCACATTTATGATCTTACTGAACAAAATCCTCATATAAAGATTAAAGATCTACTTTCAGAGGTTGATTATGTTGTTAAACAACGCTCTATCCAACATCTCTTGAATGAAATGGGAAGAAGAAAGTGGCTACAGTTAAATCGTCCTGAGCTTAAGCCACAACATGCAGTTAAACGCCTTACCTGGGCTAAAGATAAAGAAAATTACACATATAATGACTGGCTACGTATTATATGGAGTGATGAATGCACTGTCGAAAGAGGTATTGGAAAAGAGAGGATTTGGGCTTTCCGTCGTCCAAGTGAACAACTTAAGCACCATGATATTAGGACTTACCCTTGTGGAAAGGGAGTAAAGCAGATGTTTTGGGCTGCCTTTGGAGAGAATAGGCGTACTGGTCTTGTTCCATTGGATGGTGATCCAGATTCAGCTCGAGGAGGTGTATCTGCAAGAGTTATATATGATCTTTATGAAGCCTTCCTACCAGAGATTGTTCGTCCAGGAGATATTTTTATGCATGATAATGCTCCAGTCCATACTGCAGGAATAGTGCAAAATCTACTCCAAGAGCTAAATATTGAGGTTATGAGCTGGCCACCATACTCGCCTGATCTTAATCCAATTGAGAATCTATGGGCGTTGATGAAGCAAGAGATTTATAGGCTTTGTCCGGATCTTATTAATGCTACAGATACAGAAGAGACTTTAGAGCTTCTAAAAAGCACTGCAAAGGAAGCTTGGCAGGTAATTAGTGATTCTATTCTATCTAGATTATGTGAAACAATGCCTAATCGTGTTAAAGCAGTCATTGAAGCAGGTGGTTGGTATACAAAATACTGAAGCTTATATATTTTGACGGGCAGAATTTGACTGATTAAGTAGGCGGAGTATGGTGGCAGATAGGGGGGGGGTTTCAAACTTTTTGCGTCCCACTGTAGATAAAACAACACACTCACCATGCGATACTAGATCGCACCGATAGTTTCAATGTACTATCCAGTCACCGTTATCCTAGCACCTCACGACATAGCTTCTTCCCCGAGATTCTCAACAATCAAGAGTAATCAAATAGAATAATCAAGAAGAGCCCAACCAGCTCAATTCATTCAAATAAGACCTTTTTACCAATCGTACTCTATTTCCTCTTCGGGACTAGCCGTATATCTGACAAGAAGCGAGAGTTATGCTAGTGTGGTTGTGGTTGCCAGTGGCCACTGTCACGGCCTGACTGCAGACCTGCAATTTTGGTCCTTATAGGCAGCCGTACCGCTCACCGACATGTATCCCGATTTCCTCCTTCATGTTTGATATTCTCGTTGCAGCTACCTAGTATATTCAATAATAGAGAAGAGATTGGATTGCTAGGCAGAGCCATGAAATTCAGAAAATTTGAACCATCTAAAATCTGAGGTAAATTTTTGTCAATCTCTACAGGCTGCTAAAATAGGCTGTCGCATAAATGAATCCACTCTCGGAGGCCATTTCCTATTGTTAGGGTCCGAATTTAGACTTCCCAGCCTCCTAGATTTGCTATAAAAACGGTGTAGGGTCATATTTTCCTGTTTCCCATACTGCCATCAGCTTTCAATATGGGCGAGCCACAATTTAAGAGCGGTGCAACCCTAGCAATCCCTGAAACTGAAGCAGAACTTGTCAATTTAGTCGATTTACTTCAATGCAACAACCAGAAAGTTCTCCATAGCGTGAGAAATAAGAATGGAGAGACCTTTTTAACCAAAGCACTTTCGTTCCCTGACTGTCACAAATATATCGCAAATCTCATTGATCTTGGCGGGTGGAAGGATATCTACTTTCACAACTGGGGAGGAATTAATGCTGGCCTTGGCCCTTTCCATATTGCAGCAAAAAATGGGAAAAGTGATCTACTGGATATCCTTTCAAAAAATTATTTTGACGGACTTAAGTTACCTGAGTTGCGGGAGGGGAATACTCCACTTCACCTGGCAGTAATAGAAGGCCACTGTGATACTGTGAAGGAAATTCTAGGAATCGCTCAAAAATATAAGAATCGTATGTTTAATGGTATGCCACAATGGTATATACATAAATTCGACGTGAATCACACAAATAACGCTGGCAAGACCCCACTACAAATAGCCAAAGAAAAATACGAGAATAACGCCGGCAAAACCCCACTAAAAAAAAACACAAACGACAAATACGGGGAAATTATCGAGGAGATCGAGACGTACTGCAATAAACATGCTGACGGGACGAGATCTTCTTTTACACTCCAGAGTAATACGATAAACAAATCTCAAGCATGGAGCCCTTTCGCTTCCATAGTGGACAGATGGCGTAAATGGAGACACAGAACTACTTTTCTCTCGACGCTTCAAAAAGGGGAACTTTTTGACGTCTACCAAGACATTGTATCCCACGGGTCTCCAGTCCTCCTGGACATTGATTCAAAAAAGAATACCGTTTTACACCACATTTTGTCCAGCTACAGTGGCAATTCGACATATACAATGCTTATGCACACTTTAGATGCAGCGAGGCAATGCGGCACAGACATTTTAAATATCAAAAACAAAGAAAGGATGTCAGCCCTCAACCTTGCAATCAAGAAGAAACGCATCGGGACGGTAGAGCTGCTTCTAAGCAGAGGAGCCGCTATCGATACAACCGATACCGATAAACATGGGCAGACCCCACTTCATAAAGCCGTACGAATGAATGACTATCACGGTTTGATATATATATTAGAGTGTAACAGACTTCGTGGAGATGGTGAAACCTTTATACTGCAAGGTGACAACCGGGGAAAAACAGCCCTACATTACGCCGCTGAGGCCGAAAGAAAAAGTGACATCGAAGCATTAACTAACCCATGCTGGTATGAATCACAGAAGGGAATAAATACTCTGGCTAATAAGGAAGATAAGCGTGGAAGACTTGCTGTTGATTGCCTGTCGAAAAGTGGTAAGGTGTTTAACGAGGAGATTGCCAACATCCTCTACCGGCTGGCGCAAGATAGGAGGGACGTTTTCTCAAGCCAGTCTGAGTTCAATCCACCCATTCCAGGCCGTTTTCCCGATGACACTTCTAGTGCTCATAGCTCAATAATCCCTTCACTCAATGAAGATAATAGTGGTGAGCTATGTGACGAGGCACTAGCACAATTAGAGCGATTAAAGGAGCCTGACCGGGCGTGATTTTGCGTGATGGATCTTCTGTTATTGCCTCTGGAAATTGGAATAAGAATTAGCTTTTTAAAATCCATGGTAAGAATTAGGACAATAGAATACACTTGCTACTGTATTAATAATCCATTTCTTTAAGGTGTCCTCTTCAAGAACAAATAATTTTCGGCTATTTGCAAGTGTTTCTTTGCACGCAGTTATTCGTTGAAGCCGATGATAGAAAGTGGCACATCAAATGCCTTAACTAGCACAAGTGTTTTTTGACTGAAAATTATTATTATTCCATACTTTAATAGCTATTTTCATTCTTTCATCTTTTGAGATAGAAGTCATTTTAATAATTGTTATGGAAAACACTATGATCCGCCTGACTTGGCGGTGCGGAGTATCTGACAATCAATTCAACGTCTGAATCCTTTAGATAGTTGAGCACCCAGATAGGAATTGCAAGAGACTCAGTCGGTTGAGATACTGTGATTCCTGGTGTTTCCACTGAATGACATCTACTTCCTAGTTAGGCTAGTTGGCCTGTAGCTGATAGAATAGCTCCCTGCGCATCACTTCCTCTGAGTTCCACAACTACAAGGAATGTGCATCCCTCAGTACCCTGCAGGAAGTTTTTATCCAGGCAGACTATCTATCTCTCACGACTCATGCGTCCCAGGGAAGCAATATTACTTTCTAACCTTGGTGAGGCTAGAATCGGGCCAGGACCTCACGGCAGTTATATAATGCTATTGGGATATCGAGCTCCTGAAATATTACTGTATATGGACTGGAATCTGATAATAAGGTAGAAAAAGAGGTACTGTATCTACCACGCAGCCTGTAGCTCAAACTAAGCAGGTATGACGGAAGCGGTGCCGAAGTAAGACCTCTAAGGCTGTAGATAATACTGATAATAGTCTCCCACTTCTGGATATGTCAATTGAGGAGAAGACGCAGGCGCGGTCAGGGAGGGTTCGGAAGAAGCCTAAGCTGTGACGACCTCGTATCCGATATTCGGCTAATACCGAATAGGAAAGTAGACACTATTCTTGAAAGGTGCTTAAAATGATTGTTTTAGATGGTTTCTTGATTATATTGATCAACATATGATCATTCTTGTGATTATTATGGATCATTAGGTTGCTTCTTCTGCTAGGTGTAGGGGAGTTCGTTTTACCCCTCTTTTATGACCTTGTTTACGTCACTATTACCACCAACTTATTTGACACACCCCCTCAGATTCAAAGTTTTCCCCTTTTGTTCTTTTTGAAGTTATTCAGCTTGAATCTGATCTATCTCGGAGGCCTAGTTGGTTCACAAATGTGTTGAATTTTTGCTTTGGAAGCGCTTTGGTGAGGCCATCTGCCAACATCTTGTCTGTAGGCGTGTAGCCAATTTGAATTCTTCCTTGGAGAGCTTCCTGCCTGAGCCAGTGATTATGGATATCAACATGTCGAAGCTTCGTCTGCAAGCGATTGATATCTTCATGGACGAGCCGAATCGTTTGACGATTATCACATAGTATTTGAATATGTTGGTGTTGATCCAGTTGAATCTTTAGCTCTTCAAGCAGCCTGCTAATAAACATCCCTTCTTTAGCTGCTTGGGACAGTGCTAGGAGCTCTGCTTCAGTAGTTGAAGTTGTCACGGTATCTTGCTTATTTGCCCTCCATCCTATTATTCCTCCAAACAACTGCATTATATACCCTTGAGCTCTTTGATCCCAGTTATCTGCAAATGAAGCGTCACTGTATAGAGTGAAGTCATCGCCACCCCCTAGCTGCAAAGCTAGATGCCTGGTTCGATATAGGTATACTAGGATTCGATCGGCTTCAATTTGGTGTTCGTTGCTTGGGTTGGTAAGAAAGCGAGATAGTTTAGATACTGCGCAAGCTATATCTGGCCTGGTTGTCACCGCTGTGTACATGATTAATCCAATCTTTTTTTGATAGATTTGTATGCGATGTTGTATGGCCATTCCTGTATTAATATGCAGTTTATCTGTAGTTATTAGGATAGTACCTAATGGTGTTGATTCAGCCAGGTTAGCAATTTTTTTATATAAGATTGTTGACTTAGCCATATTAGTCGTCTATTTCTATCCCGAATCACCTCTATTCCTAGATACCACTGCAGATTGTCTCCTCCAGTCATTTTGTACGGCTTTGGAGCTGATCGACTACTTCGATAACTGCTTCCCTGTAGTGTTTTTGATATGCAATTATTATATCATCCACATAGAAGAATACTAGTATGCCTTGCTTAATCATGCAGCATGATTCATGCAGAATAGGGTTAAATCCTAGGTCTTAAAGTGACGCTTTAAAATGCTTCTGCCACAGTCGTGGTGATTATTTTAAACCAAATAGAGCCCTTTTAAGCTTTAGAATTGTACCTGGCTTTCAGTATCCTGGTGGCATCCGCATATAGATATCCTTATCTATATCTGCGTTCACGAACGCGTTGGTGATGTCATATTGGATAAGCTCCAGGTCAAACCTTGCAGCAATAGATAATAAGATTCTAAATAATCTTATAGCCAGCGTTGACGCATATAGATCTGCAGCTCCTTTTTCCTGCTAATTACCGCGTATAACCAGGCGGGCCTTGCATTTTTGCATGATTCCCTCCTGATTATATTTATAGGTATAGACCCATTTGCAGTCTAGGAGTTGCTTGCCTTTGCAACTAATCTTGCTTATCTCTATCCACGTCTGCATATTTCTGTGTCCTTCTAGATGATCCTTTTCAGCCTGCTTGAACTGGTTGCCAAGTGGATGATTAATAAGATCTCTATGGAAAACAGGTGCAGGTGGTAGTTCCTTATGGTGCAGTTGTTTTGGCTTTTTATCTAAGCGTTCGGCTTGAGCTTTTGTAATCCCTGGTTCCTTTGGTTGAATTAATGGTCCTGCTAGGAATGACGCTTTCCATGCAGTTAGATGTTTTAGTTGGCTCACTGGTACAATGCAGTTTATTGCCATTAGAGTTGCAGGTTCAACATCTTCCTCTAGTGGTGGTGTAGGATATGCAGTATCTGCATCCTTTTGAATTTGGCTTGCATTAATATCCGCATTCCAAGTGGATGTCTCTTCCAGTGGTAGTTGAGCCATATTAATAAGATAATCAGGTGTATCAAAATGTCCAACTAGTTGGTCCTCTTCCTGCTCCGCACAGCTTGGTGGTGCAGGATCCTCTTGAACTTCAATATCTTTAATAATCTGATTAAACTCCTCTATAGGCACTCTCTGGAATTGGTTATTAGAAGACTTATAACCATCCCTGGAAATCCCCGGAGAACTGCTCATCTTCGTTGAAGATCACGTCTCTTGTGCGAATAATCCGGTTTAAACGTGGAATCCAAATCCGGTAGATATTAGTAGAATTATATCCTACTAGATATCCAATATGTGCTTTGGGGTTGAACCTCTGTTTCCGGTTGGTCTTTTTAATGCTTTAGTAGTCATTGCAAACGCTTTGCACCCATAGACCTTTAGATGTGCCTGATAGGGCTTCCGGTCATAGATAGCAATCCCATCTTGGTGTGCAACATGCGTATGGAATCGATCAAATGGTGTTTTCCAATTAGCTTGATACTGAGGAGTTCGATTGTAAAGGTAAACCGCTGCGCGTACAATCTCTGGTCATAAAAAGTCAGGTAGTTTGGCATGTTCCCGCATGGCTCGTGCTTTATCCTTTATAACACCCCTGAGCGCTCTGCACCACCATTTTGAGCTGCAGTATAAGGTGCAGTAGGCTCTACCTTTATAAAGTAGGGATCTGACTGTAGAAATGCTTCCACCTGTAGCTTTTGACCAGCTATTTCATTGTCGCATTCGACTACTCTAACCTTGATATCCATTCGTTCAAGCGTTCCAAGTAGATGTCTCAATGCAGCAGTTATAGATTGAACTGTCCGGTCTTGTAGATAGTAGTCCCACATAAAGCATGACCATCGGTCTGTTGCAAGCATTAAGCTTTTAAAGCCTCCATATCCTGGTTCGAAATCATGGAAATCAATAGCTAATCGTTGACCTGGACCTTCAATAAAGTCAGACGGGGTCCTTCGTATTTGACGCTTTAGTTTGGCAATTCCGCATGCATCACATTCCACTGTTGTAGGCCCTCGAATCCTTGCACCCTTGGTTGAGTTAACCAGGTGTTCTAATGCAGGTGGTCCAGGATGTCCTAGACGTAGATGCCAGCGGTTTGCATATGCGCGTGTATTCTTGGTTGGATGAACTAGGAAGCTTGCATATTGGATGTCTCTGGTAGAGGTAGGATTATATTCAATAACAAACTGGTCGAATCGGTCCTCCAAGTATGCAACTGGTTGATTATTTTGTCTTAGGAGATTGTGCCCTGGTCGGTTATCCCACCATATTCCTGCTCGATGCAGCTGGCGTAAAGACACTAAATTGCATGCAATACTGGGACAGTACGCTGCATCTTGGAGATATAGAATATTCCCCTTTTATCTTGAACCACCACGTTGCCATATCCCTGGATGCCTATCTTAGAGTCTCCTGCCCATACAAAGTCCCCTAGCTGAGCAGGTCTATAAGAATTGAATCGAGAGCGTATATTAAAAATGTGGATAGTTGATCCGGAGTCCAATATAGCTGAGTGCTTTAATGGATAGGTGGTTGAATAAACTGCAAATAATGCAGGCATCCAACCTACCTGTTTTGTAATAGTCATTCCGGACTGTCTGCTTGCTGTTTTGATTCGATATTTGCTGATTCTGCCATTCTTTGACTTCTTTTGCAAATTCCTTGTCTGTTTGAAGCAGTAGATCAATATACCTTCTAGTTGCAGCTCGTTCCCTAAATCCTTTTGGTACACCTTTTAGAGCTAGATAGAAACAGTCTTTCCATTCATGCCTTTGACCACATGCTTTGCAAGCTTGATCAGTCTGTTTGACCTCCTGGTGACCAAGGCCTTTAGCCTGTTTGACCGATCCACGGTTACCAAGACTGTCATTATTCTTGCGCTTTTGTGTTTGCCTTTGACTCCCTGGTGCGAGATTCTGTTCCGGGCATTCAGCCTCATCGGCTTCATCTGCATTAAAGGTAGGACCAAATGACCCTTTAGCAATTCTATTATTGCTTTGGTTTATCAAATTGGTATTCAAACCTCTCCGGAAGTCTTGCGCTGCCAGTCGGAATGTAAGCTTATTTCTATCAATCTCTTTTTGTTTAGCCATTTGATAGGACGTTGCCCACACAGGATTTATAGGACGTATAGCGGCTAGAAAGTCATTAATCCAATCACTTGTTGACATTCCCACTGCAATTTTTCTGCATCTGTAGCCTTCTGCATAGCTTCTTCCCAGTTGTTTATCCAGGTAAGAGCATCTTTTGATTTAGTAATCGGCTTGATTGCTTTCTTATATGCTTCACGGGCAAGATTCTTAGTAGTAGCACTATCTATTCCAACACTTTGTTGTAGATTAGTGTACCACTCCTGCATTGATTTGGCTGGTTTGCAGCAGTGTTTATAGACTAATAGAGAGATTGTTTTCTGCATCTATTCCCGAAGCTTATCTAGCTGGGATTGCTGCCTGGTATAGACATCAAGACGTGTTTTATATCTTGTCCAAGCAAATTGATGATCTGCAAAGGAAACAGGCGTTCCTGATTGTGAACGAGTGCTTCCAGCAGGTGGAGCGTTCTCCTCTATGGGTTCAGATGGTTCAGGAAGTTCTTCCTTGTTTCCAATAATGATATCCCATACATTCTTGCCTCGAGCCAATCCTTCAAATTGGGCATTCCATTCCTCCCAGTGGTCCTGTGATTTCAAAATGATGGTATTCTGCGTAGACATTCTGTTTAGAGGAAGAAAAGGTCAAATAGTTGGATCGGTGGGCCGTATAAAACGTGGATCAGCGTATGAGACTCTTAATTATCCGATATTCGGCTAATACCGAATAGGAAAGTAGACACTATTCTTGAAAGGTGCTTAAAATGATTGTTTTAGATGGTTTCTTGATTATATTGATCAACATATGATCATTCTTGTGATTATTATTGATTATTAGGTTGCTTCTTCTGCTAGGTGTAGGGGAGTTCGTTTTACCCCTCTTTTATGACCTTGTTTACGTCACTATTACCACCAACTTATCTGACACCTCGTCACCTTGGGTCATGTGATCTGCTGGTTTCCCCGCAACTGATGTTGTTAATTATGATCCATCTCTTCTTCCTCTCCTCTCCATGTTTGATATTATCGTTGAAGAGCTACCTAGTTAGCGGGAATAGTTTCATTTGTTATATGAAGATCTCCTGGCCTAGATTGAGAGCCGTGGCATAAGCTACGTGAGGGATTTGAGATTGATAAGCTGTAATAATTAGAGACTTAGAAAAGAAATCGAATTTACCTGCTTAGCCACTGCAGCCTTTGCTGCCTTTTCTTCTTCGCTTCCTCTATCTGCGCTCCCTCACTTTCATGGGGAAAGGGGTACTACCGTGTCCTTGGCGCGTCTCACCACGCGTTCCAATATTAATGAGAAATGTCAGAATGAGGATTAAGCTGTTAGCAGAGGTCTATATCTAGATTTTACAATCATGGAATCTAGGCGGAGACTCTGAAAATGCCAAGCTCTACCTAATAGCAGCAGCTTATATCTAGGATTATTATAATCATGGCGCCTAGGCCGAAGCTTTGAAAATGCTTAGCATCGGGCAACATTAGCATTATCCATGCAAGGGATATAAAATATCTGCCATGTCTAAGCTAGCACCAAATCAGGGAATGCTTTTAAAACCATCCGATCAGGACACCCCGGGTAGCTTTATGCTACTGGTTAGTTTCTATACTATGTATAGAGGCAAGACCATGACGGCCCATAGGTAGGCTGGGATGCCGATATGGGCAGCCGGAAGGCTAGCTACTATTTAACCTAGTAGTTAGGTGGGTGGCAGCAGATTAATGAGAAATATCAGAATGAGGATTAAGCTGATAGTAGAGGTCTATATCTAGATTCTATAATCATGGCATCTGGGCCGGGACCCTGAAAATACCAAGCTCCATCTAATAGCAACAGCTTATATCTAGGCTTTATAATCATGGCGCCTAGGCCGAAGCTCATAAAATGCAATGGGGCAAATTGGGCTATATTTAGTAAGAAAATCCTTGAGTTAGATATAGAAACAAGGCAGGAGAGTTTAAATGGTGAGATAGAGCTAGAAACCGAAGATTTAAATCTCCAACAGATAATACAAACAGCTGTAGATGCTAGTATCCCAAGAAGAAAACCATTTGCCCAGTCGAAAGCATGGTGGTCAGAGGAACTCAAAAATCCGAGAAAACAGCTTGGAAAAGCTAGAAAACTTTGGAAAAACGATCCTTGTACAGTGAACAGCAAAACCAGCTTCACCATCAAACACACTCTTCCCTCCTCTGAGCGCCACAGCAAGACGCTAGCGCCAAATCTGAGTGCGAATTAATTGACTCTCAGAAACATAAAATACCAGCTCTGTAACTCAGCCATTGTGATTGTCCGTTCATGGAATAACTTGAATTCGAGACTGCAAACAAATCAAAAACACAGTACCTGCTACACCCCTTTCACAGCGAAACTCTCGTAGGATGCCATAGAAAGTCTATGTCGACAATTATGGTAATATTGATTATTCAGCACCTTTCTCGGTCAAATGTTGTTGATGATCCAACATCATCGGATCGCGTATATCTCCTACATTAGTTAGTTTGCATTCTTCATTTGTTTACCTCGCCTTTATAAATGCGAGATGTTCTGATAGTTTACTTGAATCAGAGACCTAATTCAATGAAGGATCGATACTTGCGAATACGCGTAATTTTATGGTTCACAGTCTACTATTTCATGCAAATATAGGTTTGGTTTCTGCCTCAAGCGGTCTTGGAAATATCTAGCAGGATTGGGGAAAATGGGGAATTTTCGGCGGTCGGCCTGCGCGCGATTCACCCCAGAGATTTGAAGGTTATCATGATCGCTCTGGGATATGGTTAGTGACCTTCTGGTTATTATATCACGATCAAATTCGAGCTGTGATGTAGCAAGTCGCGGTACCATGGCAGGCATGAGGAGATAATAGAGTTTCTGTTACTGTTGTTCTTCTCTTGCTGATTATAAGCGAGGCTGATCGCCAATTACCAAAAGTGAAATTGATTGGTTGCCATAAGCACCAATAGTGCACGCTTGTACCGCCTCACTTGTGACTACTTGCCCCTCATCAGGCTTGTGCTGACACCGATATAGGCGCTCTTCGTAGTTGCTCTCATCCTGCTAAAGATACCCGCTCCCACAGTTAATGCTGATATTGAATGCATCTAGAATCAGCTCCCAGCCAGCGCTTATCTATTAGCGACTTCGAACCCCACGTTCGCCAACAGTGCAACCACATGGTTTCCCCCACGCTCGAAGAGTACCAGATCGGCTGGATATGTGCCCTTCCAATCGAGGCGGCCGCTGCTCAAGAAATGCTTGATGAAAGCTTTGGGACCCTCGAAGAGCAGGACAGCACGGACACTAATATATACATTTTGGGCCGAATTGGCAAGCATTTGGTTGTGATCGCATGCTTGGGAGGGCAGTATGGGACAACTTCAGCCACCACCGTGGCTAATAACATGATGCGAACCTTTTCCAAGTCGCTGCGGATTGGATTAATGGTTGGTATCGGAGGAGGAATTCCTTCTGCGGCTCATGATATACGGCTCGGAGACATTGTGGTCAGTTATCCTACTGGCACGTGTGGCGGTGTGGTCCAGCATGACATGGGGAAAGTTGGTGAAGGTGGGAAACTTACTCGTACTGGGTCACTAAATGGCCCACCCAGATTGTTATTAGCTGCGGTCAACCAGATGAGGGCAGCTGCTTTTCGGGAAGTCCCACTTTATCTTTCTTATATCCAACATGCTATTCAAAGGAACGCACGGACACGCCGTAATTTTAGTCGACCAGACCAGCAACATGATAGATTCTTTCAAGCTCAGCACAAACATCCTTCAAATGCAGCTACCTGTGATGGTTGCCCGGCCGAGTGGGAGGTAGAAAGGGATAAACGAGACGACAACGAGTCACAGCTATACTATGGTGTTATTGCGTCAGGGAATGTTGTGGTGAAGGACGGTGAAACCCGGGAGCATTTGCGGAAAGAAACATGCGCCTTATGCTTTGAAATGGAGGCTGCAGGCTTAATGCAGGACTTCCCTTGCATTGTCATCCGGGGTATCTGTGATTATGCCGATTCGCACAAGAATAAGCAGTGGCAAGGGTATGCAGCATTGGCAGCTGCATCCTATGCAAAAGAATTACTCAGTTATGTCCCACGTGGTCAAGTGTCACAGGAGAAGCTGGTGACTGAGATTTGTAGTACGTGACACTTGCAAGAAATTGTTATTGCTAAGTTATAGCTATGAGCACGGCTGACTTTACTCCTTCGTAGCGATAATCAGTCAACAACTTAAAATAGTGAATAACACCACTGATAACATTAACCAAAAAATCACTTTGGACCGATTAAAGATTGCAGAAGGGGCGGCATTTGATTCATATGCAAACCAGCATGAAAAATGTCTTCCTGGAACTAGACGTGAACTTCTCGACCATATCGAAAGGTGGGCAGACTCAGCAGATGGAAAATGTATATTTTGGTTGAATGGTATGGCAGGGACTGGAAAGTCAACAGTTTCACAAACTATTGCACACCATCTCAGACAAAAGAACTCACTAGGTGGGAGCTTCTTTTTCAAGAGGGGTGAAGAAGACCGAGGAAATGCTAGAAGATTTTTTCCAACTCTTGTGCTACAGTTGGTGGATAGATTTCCTCAATTAAGGAATAGTGTACAGAGGGCAATTAAGGATGATCCCTACATTTCAGAGAGGGCGCTAGGAGAACAATTTAACAAACTTTTCCTGCATCCGCTCCAGAATGTGGACTTTAATCAGGCTGTGACAACAACTATTGTGGTTGATGCGTTGGATGAATGTGAAAGAGAAGTTGAGATAAGAGCCATTCTCCAATTATTGCCGCAGGTACAATTATCAACATCTACACGGATCCGCTTCTTCCTAACAAGCAGACCTGAACTCCCGATCCGCCTGGGTTTCAAGCAGATCGCCGGCAACCACCAAAACATGGACCTTCATGAGATCCCAACGCCAATAATCGAGCGTGATATCTCGCTATATTTTAATGATAAGCTTTCTCAGTTAAGAGAAGAGCATTCGCTTCCAACTCACTGGCCTAGGCATGACCATATCAAAAGCTTGGTTGACAGGGCTGTGCCATTATTTATTGCTGCTGCCACTATCTGTCGATTTATTGGTGAAAGTTGGAATCCTCAAGAACGTCTTGAAGCAATACTCTCAGACCAGACAATCTATATCCCCGGGATGGCCAGGACATACGTGCCAGTTCTAAAGCAACTGCTTCTTGGTCAGGATGAGTGGGAAACCAAGGAGCTGATTGAAGACTTCAGAAGAATAGTTGGAGTTATTATTATCCTAGCCACTCCACTCTCAATTAATGCCCTCAGCAAGCTTTTATTCAGGAAGCCAAAGGATCTCAGTTATCGCTTGAGGCAGCTCCACTCAGTCCTTAACTTAGTTGACAATTTACATACTCCAGTCCGGACCTTGCATTTATCATTCAGGAATTTTCTTGTGGATCTTAAGACAAAACAGGCCAAAGAGAGCGAAGAGTTTTGGATAGATGAAAAGGCAATACATAACACGCTTATAGATCATTGCCTCGGGATCATGGACCATGGTCTCAAGAAGAATATCTGCAACCTGTCAAGTGATGGGACCCAACGCAGTGAGATTGATCCACAGTGCATTGAGCGTCATCTACCACCGGAACTACGATATGCCTGTCGGTACTGGGTAGAGCACTTGAGCCTGTGCCAGAACCCATTTACCGAGTTGGTTATAGCTTTCTCATTTCTTAAAACACACCTCCTTCACTGGTTGGAAACAATGAGCATTTTGGGCCTTTTATCTGAAGTTGTGGGACTAATAATAAGACTACAGTCCATCGCTCAAGTAAGTGCTCCTGAAGTCAAGTGGATAAATAGATACTAAGGTAAATAGAGCAAGAATCATCCTGAAATCTTGGACTTCTTATATGATGCTAGGCGATTTGTCCTTAAGAATCGACAAATAGCAGAGATTGCACCCCTTCAGCTTTATTCTTCAGGGCTAATGTTTTGCCCCAGAAACTCAGTTACTAGAGAAATATTTAAGAACCAGCTCACAAACTGGAACCAATTACCAAGGGTGAAAGAAGAATGGAGCGCAGAGGTACAGACTCTTGAGGGCCATTCTGGCTCGGTTTGGTCAGTGACTTTCTCACCTGATAGTCAGCTGCTGGCATCTGGCTCTGGTGACGGCACTATTAAGCTCTGGGATCCCAGCACAGGCGAGCTGTGTCAGACTCTTAAGGGCCATTCTGCTTTAGTTCAGTCTGTGACTTTCTCACCTGATGGTCAGCTGCTGGCATCTGGCTCTGGTGACGGCACTATTAAGCTCTGGGATCCCAGCACAGGCAAGCTGTGCCAGACTCTTAAAGGCCATTCTGCTTTAGTTCAGTCTGTGACTTTCTCACCTGATGGTCAGCTACTGGCATCCGGCTCTAATGATCGCACGATCAGGCTCTGGGATCCCAGCACAGGCGAGCTGCGCCAGACTCTTAAGGGCCATTCTAGTTGGGTTCAGTCTGTGGCTTTCTCACCTAATGGTCGGCTGCTGGCGTCCGGCTCTGCTGACTGCACTATTAGGCTCTGGGATCCCAGCACAGGCGAGCTGTACCAGGCCCTTGAGGGCCATTCCAGCTCTGTTAAGTCTGTGACTTTCTCACCTGATGGTCAGCTGCTGGCATCTGGCTCTGATGACCGTATGATCAGGCTCTGGGATCCCAGCACAGGCAAGGTGCGCCGGATTCGTAGGGGTCACTCTGGTTGGGTTCAGTCTGTGACTTTCTCACCTGATGGTCAGCTGCTGGCATCCGGCTCTGATGACCACACTATCATACTCTGGGATCCCAGCCCAGGCCTGCGCCAGGCCCTTAAGGGCCATTCTAGCTCTGTTAAGTCAGTGACTTTCTCACCTGATGGTCGGCTGCTGGCATCTAGCTCTGATGATAACACTATTAAGCTCTGGGATCCCAGCACAGGCGAGCTGCGCCAGACTCTTAAGGGCCATTTTCGTTCAGTATTGTCTGTGACTTTCTCACCTGATGGTCAGCTGCTGGCATCTGGCTCTGCTGATAAGACTATCAAGCTCTGGGATCCCAGCACAGGCGAGCTGCGCCAGACTCTTAAGGGCCATTCTGGTTGGGTTCAGTCTGTGGCTTTCTCACCTAATGGTCGGCTGCTGGCGTCCGGCTCTGCTGACTGCACTATTAGGCTCTGGGATCCCAGCACAGGCGAGCTGCGCCAGACTCTTAAGGGCCATTTTCGTTCAGTATTGTCTGTGACTTTCTCACCTGATGGTCAGCTGCTGGCATCCGGCTCTAATGATCGCACGATCAGGCTCTGGGATCCCAGCACAGGCGAGCTGCGCCAGACTCTTAAGGGCCATTCTAGTTGGGTTCAGTCTGTGGCTTTCTCACCTAATGGTCGGCTGCTGGCGTCCGGCTCTGCTGACTGCACTATTAGGCTCTGGGATCCCAGCACAGGCGAGCTGTACCAGGCCCTTGAGGGCCATTCCAGCTCTGTTAAGCCTGTGACATTCTCACCTGATGGTCAGCTGCTGGCATCCAGTTCTGGTGACCGCACTATCAGGCTTAATCCCAGCACAGGCGAGCTGCGCCAGACTCTTGAGTGTCACTCCTATTGGGTTTGGGATAAAGAGGATGCTAATGTATCAATACAAGACCATCAGTGGATATGTCTTCAAGGGAAACGGGTTTTATGGCTTCCCACAGAGTACCGAGCAATCTGCTTGGCATTTAAACATAGTGTCCTTGCTCTTGGACATGCAAATGGCCGGGTTTCCTTTATGTCATATAACGATTATTTATTGGCCTAGTCAATTTAAAACATTGTATCACACTCTTCTATACTTTCCAGTCTCTGTTCAAAAAGAGTGTCTGGGATGGCTAAAAAATTTATACATTTTTTCTCTTACTGTACTTCCAGATTGTTTGAGATATTTCTACAAGCTTCAACCACCAGTCTGCTGCTTAAGTGGCAAGTGGTTGGTGGGACACATGTTTCCAGTTTCAGTGGGTCTGTACTTTTACAAAACAGCACCAGTTACTTTACACAGTAGATGCACCTGGTTTTGAGACTAGTGTCTTGGCTGTGGCGCTCAGAAAACAAAAGTGCGTGTTTGGTGGTGAAACTGGTTTTGCTGCCCACTGTACAGAGCTCTACGAGAATCTTTTAGAGATTAAAAACCAATACTTCCAGGAGATCAAGCAAGCTAAGTCAGCATGCTGGAATAAATTTCTGGAAGAAGCTCGGAATAAGGAGATTTTTAAAGCGTTTAGCTACACTAAAAAGAGATCTGTCCAAAAACCGCCTATCTTGACCTATTCTATAGGGAATCAAAAAAGCAAGCAATCTCCTTTCAAGATAAATGTCATGCATTTCTTTCCACCCTGTTTCAAAAACTCCCGGAGGCTGAGCCCATTGAGTGGCTAACTAACAAGGCAGAATCAACCAACTGGCCAGAAACCAGCGAAAACGAAGTATACACTGCTATCTTTAGTAGTTCTACTAAAAAGGCCCCTGGGCCTGATGACATTTCATTCTTAATTATTCATAAGGCTTACCAAAACATTGCTCCAAGATTCCTTGAGCTTTATAAAGCCCTAATTAAAATGGTTATCATCCCAGATGCTGGAAAACTGCCAAACGGGTTATCCTCAAAAAATCCGCGTCTGCCAAAAGGGACTACTCCAAGCCCAAGGCCCACAGAGTTATTTACCTGCTTAACTGCCTAGGCAAAGTGGTAGAAAAGATTATTGCAACTAGATTATCTTATCTAGCCGAACTCCCGCAATCAATTCTTTACCATGACCAAATGGGGGGAAGAAAAAGAACATCTGCAATTGATACAGCACTATCCCTGGTCCATGATATAGAGCTCGCAAAGCATAATAAAGAGGTTACCACCGCCGTTCTTATAGATGTAAAAGGAGCTTTCGATCATGTATCTACCAATCAGCTACTTAGAATATGCCTAAAACTAGGTCTTCCATATAGCTTGATTCGGTGGATCAATCCTTCATGTCAGACAGAAAAGTGTTCCTAGCTTTTGACGGTGAAACCAGCAAGGAGACCCCAGTCCAGGTAGGGATACCCCAGGGATCCCCTATATCACACATTCTGTTTCTTATATACATTAGAGAGCTCTTTCAGCTTGAAATGTACGGGGAACTAGATAGCAACACAAGACAAGCCTTTAAAGATATTCGAAAGCCGAGCTATATGGATGATATATGCCTAACTATTAGCTCTAAAAGCCTAGAGAACAACTGCAGGCAAATAGAGCTGGTAGCCAATGCTATGTTCAAAAAAGGAGCCAAAGTCCACATCCAGTTTGACCAGGATAAAATAGAGCTTATTCATTTTAGCTCTAAACGGCCAGACCAGGAAAGCCGAGACGCCCGAGTTGAACTGGGTAGTGGTGTTATGGTGAAACCAAGCTCGATGGTAAAATGGCTAGGAATCTACATAGATTCTAAACTCCTTTTTGAAGAACATGTCCAAATACGAGTTGCGGCTGCAACGAGGGTATTTTGTAAAGGGCGAAATGCCTTGCTATCTAACAACTAGATATACACAAAGAGGAATCGCTGAAAGGGAGAAAGTAAAGGGGAGGAAGTGTGCGTTCTCATACTACAAGGAGTCATGTGACTACGATAAGCGGACCAATCATATGTGTCAATCGCAGCGAAGGTGAAGCCGAGCAACATACAGGCGTAGCCGGTGACATATTTCACCAAATAGCAAGGCTTTCAAATACGGAAAAGGGGCTAAGCTTCCAAGCCATGAGACAACTTTATATAGCATGTGTTTCGTCTATTGCAGACTACGGAGTCCCTTTATGGTGGAAAGGCCAACAGTATCTAGTGGACCACTACCAGAAACTGCAAAATACAGCTTTAAGAAAGATTCTAGGGACTTTTAAAACATCGCCTGTACAGGCTATGGAAATAGAAGCATTCCTGCCCCCTCCATTGGTTAGATTTAATAAATCTGCAGAAACTATGTCCTTAGAACTGCCTATTTTATAAAATCCCATGCAATCCAAAGCAGACTCCCAACCACATTTATGCTAAACCCGGGGTAATTCTCCATTGACCAATCAAGGTTTTTGGATTGCAACGAGAAACCTAGATTACTAGATGCAGAAGACCCGGAATACCACCCTAGAGAGAGAAAGAGAAAATACCCTAGCCAGTTAATCCGACTGCTAGTACTATTCTCCTTTAAAATGTGGAAAGGCACCTTTCAGACGCTAGATCAAATCCTACCGCCCTGGTCCCAACCATTAAACCAAGTATTAGATATATCTATATCTAGTAAACCGAAAGAGCAAGCAGCCCAGGAACACAAGACGCTAATATCTCAATGACTTGCTAATAGAGATAACCACAAAATTATCTTCTATTCAGATGGATCCCAGCTGCAGAGTGGTCAAAACGGAGCAGGAATCTTCCTCCTAGAGAATAATCCTCAAAATCAAAAGGCTTGGGCATGGAATCTAGGTCATGAATATAAGGTCTACGATGCGGAGTTATTTGCTATTCGAAAAGCATTAAAACAAGCATTTAAGACTATTCAAATTCCAACTTTAGATATCTACATCTTTTCGACAGCCAGCAGCCTAAAAAGGCTTCAATCAGCGACACCAGCTATGAACCACACCAAAGAATCTTTAAATGGGCAACTAATCAAGGAAAGAATATTTATATTCATATTCATTGGGTTCCAGGCCATCAAGGAATCTTTGGCAATACCAAAGCTGACGAGGCAGCTAAGTATAGGGCAGAATGGACAGATAAATATTATAAATGCACCATCTCAGTTAGTCATCTTAAACAAGAGCTCAAAGCAAAGTGCCTTGAGGATTGGGATAAAGCATGGGAAAATGCTAGGAAAATGATCAATACAGGGGCTTTAATTCCATAGCTTCATGGAAGCCAAGCCCCCTAAAGCTCCCAATGCAGACCTGGTCAACCATTATCCAGCTAAAGCTAGGGCATGGCTATTTCAGATCCTATCCAGTTCGAACACCTAACTATGACAGTGATATATGCACATCGTGCTATAGTAATAAACCCCAAACTCAACACCACCTTCTCCTTCAATGCCCTGTATTTAGGGACATCAGAAAAGAGTCTATAGAGACCCTTTGCAAAAAAGACCGAAATTTGCCTTTTCTTTTCACGAAGAAAGCAGGGCAAGAACAACTGATCAAAAGGAAACCGGGATCGCCACTAGAAAGTGGCTCTTGGACCCCTAGGGAAACCAAAAACAAAGTAAAAACAGAAACAACCTGGAATTTAGCATGTTTCAACCCCTTCTTTAAGGTCCCCCCCACTCCTAGAACGTTATATTGCTTATTTATGTTTGATTTTACCCACTATGTACGTATCTGTTTGTTAGTTCAAATCCTACCACCCTTGGGTGGTAGGTAGAGCATGCAAAGTCTCTGACTGAAAAATGCTCTATAATATGGAAGAAGAAGAAGAAGAATAATAATGCCTCGCCCTGGGCGTTCCCGTTTTTGGCCACCGCGAGGCCGGATAATCGACGGTTCTAGCACTAAAAGACGGGTATCTAATGGTTCAATTTGACGGCATGCAATCCACCATTGACGGTGAAAGTGTTCCATCTGAAGCGGCCTGGAGTTCTCTGAATACCACTGTATTGTGTGTGAATACATGGGATTCCCAGTGTTTTGTTAACAACTCCAGTGCAAGAATTAATTGGCAACTTTCCAGACCCTGGCGGGAGATATGTCTTGTAGATCTGGTGAACTTTTAGGACTGCATAGTGGGAAATTCTGTACTCCAAGTCCCGATTGTCAGCCTGTCAGGGCTGGGCCGAACTCCTGCCTGAGGCACCAAGATGTTATTCACTGTTGATCCCACAACATGGAGATTTTCCCACATTTCTCTCTCATTTCTCTCTCATTTCTCTCATTTTCTCTCATTTTAATTATTTTATTATTTTTCTTATTTTCTCTTATTTCTCTCATTTTTCTCATTTTTCTTATTTTCTCTCATTTCTCTCATTTTTCTTATTTCTCTCATTTCTGAGGGCGAATCCATCACCTTTAGAACCCTAGCCAGGTATGGTCTGGACAGCATCATGCACTTTAGATGATGCTGAATTCCATTGCTGTATGTCTATGCTATGCTGGGTTTAGGCGGATCCCCCTTTCTAGAGAGCTGTTGTATCATGGTTGTCAAGAGGGAGATCTGTGAAAACTGGCTCTTTGTAGGCTCTACCCGCTGGAACAATTCCTTCTCATCAAAGCTGGATTGTCCGTTCTCTGTAACAGAGTCCTCCCAGTCTGAGTTATTACGGATTGCAATTTATAGATCAATCACGTCCTTATTACAAACTGGCCTGTCTTTGTATATCATATTCTTTTTCTTTGTCTTCCATGGCCTTATCCCATAAACTTAGTTGTTCAATTTCCGGCACATTTTGAAACAGGAAAGCTTGTACAGCTAAGTTAATAACATGGCCAATACAGAAGATGCGGCGATATGTCGGATCCCATTTAATTCCTTCTTCTTCCCGAAGATAATTTGCTAGTATGCGACAAAGCTTATCATTTGCAGTGTGATTATCACAAACAATTAACCCAACCTTTTGCTGGATCCCATAGTCTTTTAAAACTGGAAGAAGAATGGCAAACTGCTTATCACCACTATGGTTCCCCACAGTCCGAAGAGCAAGGAGACCCTTGCACAGACTTTCTTGACTTTGCTCAACAAAGTGAGCACAAATACCGAGAAACAATAGCCGAATTGGTGAGGCCCAGATATCAAGTGAAAGGTGAAT